ACCTTTAACTTACTTTCATTTAATTTAAGTAACTTCTCCTTATGTTTGTTTCAGTATCAGAAATGCACAGATTCCTGAATATCTGGTTAGAGTGTAAAAAGGTGAACATCCTTTCCAAATGACTTCTCATTTGATGAAAAAAAAAAAAAAAAAAAAAAACCAAAGGAAGGAAAGGAAAAAAAGAGACCAATATAATAAGAAACCGCAACAATTCTGAAATGTGTCCAAGAAAAGAACTTTGTAGATTGAATAGACTTAGACGCCAGATTAAGTTTAATGCAGTTATTTATACAGAATAATAATTTGGCGTGAAAGAAGTTTACCAACCATATCCTTAAAAACTGCAGTCAGCTGTATCGATGAAAAGTCAGAAAAACAAAACCAGCTACACAAAGATGAATTCTGAATCTCTAGTTTGTCACAATTAAATAGCTTCCCAGAAAGATATCAGGATTATGCGATTATTTGAATTTCTGGAAATTATTTTTTTGGCCAAAGAGTCATCATGCAAAAATCTACTTTAAAAAAAAAAAAAAAAAAAAAAAACCTATGTGAAATATATATTGTGAAATATATATTGTATTTTTGTTTTTTTTTTTTTCCTTATTTTACAATGATATTCAGCCCAGTTGTTGAGCAGATGCAGGAAGTGCAAATAGATGTTCCCCTTATGTTTTACATTGTGTATTACCACACACACATATACTTGCATGCCCTTCATTAGCAGCTGCAAAGACTTTATTTCAGACCCAACTTAACATTTTTGCTAAGTCTTTTCTTTGTAACCCTCTCCTCTCCTCAGCATGAAGGCTCAAGAAACTAAAGATAACTCTAACAATTGACAATGCATTCTAAAAATGGGCAGTAGATGCAAAAGCACAACTCTTCTTCATCCAGGACAAGGTTATCTGGGAAAAGGACATGCTGGGACCGTTGGCAGAAGCAAATGTTGTGCACTTTGTAGGCTGCCTTGCTGCATCTAACCTCTGGCTAAATTATTGAAAAGTTCTTCCCTTGTGAGGATTGTACCCTTATACATTTTGCATTAGAAGTCAAGCCCTGCTATTTCACACTGCAGCGTTGTCCCACGTGGTGCCTCCTCCAACACAAGCAGGGCTTGAAGCCTGCAGAGCCCAGAGGAGTAAATTGTGAAGGGCACAAAACAACCAGATCAACGATAGTCTTGCTACTTGTTTTATGCACCAATAAATGTAGTGGTGCCAAGGGAGGAAAGGAGGCACAGACGGAGAGGACAGGCACAGGGGGCAGTCAGACCCCAGACGGATGCTTAAGACAAAGTATGATCTGACCCATCAAACGGTTAGGGGACCAAACCAATTAACGGCTGGATTTTGCCTCGCCATGTGACAACTCTGAAGCAGACTCCTCACTCCATACGTCATTCCATACACTAGCTCTATTCCATACAACAGCTCTATTACCCCCTGCCAYCAAGACGACAGAGTAAGGTGAGGATGACTTCCTTCCCAATGTTCTGTAGTTGGCCTACTTYCATTGTGAAGTACAAACCTTGCTCCCCTTTGCAGCAAGGCAATCTCACCACTAACATTTCTGCTTCCCCAGCAAGCCAGTAGGTCGATGCTTTCATCTCCTCGTGTTGCCGTTGCCGTTGATCCCRCACCTCATGACTAATAGGGAAAACATGAAACTCCCTGCCCCGTCCAAGATGAGCAATTACAAAATGTGGACAGCAGGCCTTTCCTCTCCGTTGAAAACTTTWACCAGTCAAGCGGCCTGGTTATCCCCCATTCACATCTACCCTTGCGCTCTTTGGGAAGGTCCGGAATGCTGAAGTGACAAACTGTGCTGTTCAGCATGGAGATCCAAGGGGAGATATTAGGCCCTCTGAGGGAAAATGCGCTTTTCTCATCCAACTCTGGCCTCAGTTGAAGTATTACAATAATGACAGATGAGCTCCTCCAATAAGAGGCTTTCCTGCCTTTGACTTTGGTGCACAATTTTCCAGAGTTTTATGCAACATTTTAATCTCATGTCTTTCAACTCTGTGTTCTCCCGCTACATTACTTATGAAAATGGCATTAATAGAAACAGAAAATCTGTTAAGAAGGGTAAGTGCTGAATTACATACAAGAGAAAAACAAGCAGCCCTTGGCACTGCACACCAAAAGGATTCCATTAAACAGAAGGAATAGAGTCTTCCAATTGGCAGCGTATCACTTTGCATTGTTGACAGTATAGAGTATAATGATTATCTACAGCTGGGATGGGGAAGTATAGCTCACATCGAACTTTTAAAGTATTCATAGCTATGCTATGCAGAACTCGGGAATATATAGCATTTCATGCATCGATTATGGGTGTTAGATGTTAATATTTTTATTTAAAAGAACTAAATGCAACTGCAACATCTTCATTAGCAACTGCTTCAAATCATCTAAACTACAGTGATAAGTTTGACTAAAGAAACACACTTGGCTGACAGTCTTTTCATGAAAAAAAGATAGTGATATAAATTTATTCTTTTGCACTATGTCAGTCTACTTTTTGTTTTCATAAAAAAAGTCAGCTTCAATCTAGCTTGATTAACATTATTAAAGAGATACTTTGTAAGAATACTCAATACTAAGAATATCAAAGAATCTTTTGGCTTATTTTTATCACATATAAAATAATAATAATAAATAAKTAAATAATAGACATATTTTGGAAAGGTGCAAATTTTCTCAAAAATACCCTAGTAAAAACAACTCAAAATTGGTTTTAAAGGATACCATATTTGTTTCAAAAGCAGTCAATATATTTTCAGAAATAGATGGTATAACTTCCTTTTGCCATGTTATACAAACACAGACATTTCTGTTTAAGATTATATTTTTAAAAAACAAGATAAACACAATGTGTGTGGTAAGAAGCATCTTTTTTGACCACAAGGCAAAATTGATTACCTTGACCACAAGGCTTAATTGATTGATTAAGGTGGATAAGGGAGGAAATGTTTGAAGAGGAGTGTTTCCATGAAACTGTAAAAGTTGTCCATAAAGCAAGAATCCTAATCTGTGAGAAAATCTGAAGAAACCTCATTTGCCTTCACGTCATTAAGAACCATCCTGCTGAACCATCTCAACAGCCTATAGTAGCCCCATAGCCATCAGTAGACCCTCAGTCAACTGATCCTGCAGGTGGTGAGACTGTCGCTCAATATGTGCTACTGGAATATCAGATTAAACATTCATTGAGCTTGGGAAACTACAGTCTAAACCTATAAAATTAAGAGCTTATGACTATAGGAGAACAAAGATTTTCTTTCATTCAAGACCTCCAAGAGATTATGCATGACTTAACTTCTTATGAAGCARGCTCTACACCAGTTCCTGCCTCTTTGGACCACTGAATATCTAAATATTGTACTAAGCTCCAACAAGCTAAGAAAGTTTTGGCATTTTGCTCTACCTTTTATAAACTAGCTCATCATTTGATGAGTCTCCATCCTAGGTGAGGGTCTTCCAGTATCCTTACCCCAAGCTACTGTAAACACCTCTTGCTGGAAATCTGTCTTTCATTGGATTTGGGGGAACCATGCCAAAGAAATTTTCTGTTCAAAAGGAGTTATTTCTGTGAAAAGTTTTGATGGATCAGCACTTTCCACTTAAAARAAAAAAAAAAAGAAAAAAAAAGAAAAAAAAAGCACATTTCCTCAGAAAATTCCTAGCCAGTTCTAGTCATCACTTTTCAAAGAGGTCAAAGTCCATAAAATGGAAATCACAATATACATGGAAAAGGAGTTCAGAAAAGAATATTAGCATAATGTATCTCCACATCACCTGCCAAGAATGTCCCAGAAAACTACATTTGTGAGAGCAGACTGAACACAGAGACTCTTATAAGATGTTCAGCATCTTACAAAAACACACTCCTACTGTAGAAGAAAAAGGACAAGTTTTGCTACCTGTGATGCTGCTCTCATTTTCTTTTTTTTTTTTCATTTCCTTGCTCAGATCACAAAATATTCCTAAATCATGCTTCAAAATAATGATGTTCTAACTAGAAAGTGCATCTATTTCTTTGAAACCATTGACCTTCGTTGCCACACACAGCGCTGGATGCTTCAGACTTTGTCCCAAGGTGCTGGGCACCACATGTGCCTGCCCTAGCTCTGGCCACTGTCTCTCTGTCCCTCCTGGCACATCCTTTCCCTCCATTGTGACTGTCTTTTGTTTCTTTGTGCAAAGGTCTGACCGAAACTACGTTGGCGAAAGGAAGGAAAAGTTTGTAGAAACCTTTGCAAACTTTTATTTCCTCAGACATCTCCCCAGAGGACCAACAGAAATACAGAGCTATCTCCTCAGATATCCAGTCTAAGGGGGACAGTTCAGGAAACAAATTCAGCTAAAGAGCTTCCAGCAGTTGATTACTTATTGTCTGTTCCCCCCCCGACGGATTTCATCAGGAACCTCTAAAGAAACTACATATTATTTCAGCCTGGAAATAGTATGGTCATGCAGCTAAGCTTCAGCAAGCACATTCCCTACCACGACACACTATTATGTGCTGCGGGTAGTCCTTGTCATCTTAGGTAATTTAGCATTTATGCTGTCGCTTGCAAACGAGGGGCAGATGCTCCCCCGTGCCCTGGCAGGGGCCGGCAGCACCTCTGGGCACCGCTGCAACTGCCCTCTCCGCCTGCCGGGGCTGCGCGGCCGGGGACCCCCGCGGCGGGCGGGGGGCCGCGGGGACAGCCCGGCCGCGCTGCCCTGCGCGCCCGCGGAAACTTGGCCGTGCGCGCCGCGCAGGTGGCAGCGCCGGCGCTGGAGCCGGGGCGCTCCTCGCGCCCGGGTCGCGCGGATCCTCCCCGCCGCTCCGCGCTCCGCTCCGCGCAGGTAGCTCCCATGTCCCCCCGACCCGTCCCTGCCGCTTCCAGCGGGTCCCGATGCCCTCGGCGTGCCCCGGCGGGGGGGACACGGGGTGAGGCGGCCGCGAGGCGGGCGGCGGGTCCCCAGCGAGGTGACAGGAGCACTAACCTGCCGGAGGGATGGCCATGGGCAGCAGCAGCAGCTGGTGGAGCAGCAAGGCTGGCAGGAGTTTGGTGGCCCGCATGGTGCCGCTGGCCCCCCCGGCGGCTGGCGGCAGCGCGAGCGGAGATGGCTCCTCGGGAGGACCCCGCGCCCGGGCGGTCACTAGAGGAGGCAGGGAGAGCCGCGCTGCTTTTTATTGCGATGATCTAAGTTTGTTGTGTGATTAACTGGAAAGATCTGGGTCCCAACTCCCTCTTACGGTAAGAAACTGTTTAACAACATCCCCTCGCTGCCTCCTCTCGCCCTCCCCTCCCCAGCACGGAGCAGAAGCTGCCTCCTTTCCCGCCCTGCAGCCAGGGAGGGGGCTCCGGCCCCCGCCAGCCCACATGGTCCTGCGCCGGCCACCACCAGATCATCCTGCTGCTACCATGTCCTTATAACCCAGCTCTGACCACCCCTGGATCATCCTGTGTCAACCACCCCCAGATCACCCTGCTCTGGCCACCTCTGGATGATCCTGCTCCAGCCACCCCCAGATCACACCACTTCCCTGATCACCCCAATACTGCCCTCCTTCGTCCACCCACAGATCACTCTGCTCCATCTATTCCTGGATCACACTACTTCATGCATCCCTGGATGATCACCCTGTTCTGGYTGCCCCTTTATCACTGACCACCTCTGAATCATCCTGCTCTAGCCTTCCCTGGATCATCCCACTCCAAACATCCCTTTTTCATCCTGCTCCAGCCATCCATGGAGCTCCTTGCTCCATCCACCCCACCACACACACACACCTCTCTGCAGCSAGGAGCAGCAGCCCTGGGCTCCCCTTGCCACTTACCACCTGTTCCAGGAAACTCATCATCCCTCCAACCAGGAAGAGTGTTTCCCATCACCCACCCTGCACCCTGTCCTGCACATGTTCTCGCATCCCCATCGCCCCCAGCTGGCAGCCCGTCCTGTCCATCACACTTTCTGGCTGTCTGACAAGTGCCACTTCCCTAAAACTCTGGCAACCCCGAGGGAATCTAAAGGTCAAGTATCAGCTGGACCGGCGTCGCTTGGCGGAGACCAACTTGAGGCCGAAGCAGCGCCTGCTCTTCCTGTGTCTGCATCTGAACTTCATGGAAGAAATGGCATCAGCGTTGGTTTAAAGTCAGACGAGTGGCCTTCATGACATACAAGTGTACAAAAAGAATCACTTTAGCAAAAGTTCCATCATAATTTTAAATTATTCCTTTGTGCTAAGCATGCACCTGCTCCCTATGGCCTATGTGTAGCAATACATGCAGCAGGAAACCATAATTCCCTCCATTTTCCGTGAATAAAACTGCACATGGCCCCATGCCACATGAGTGAAAGCACAGCTCCCTAGACATGCCTCCTTTGCCCATGCCTACTGTCCAGGCTGCTGGATACTCCTTTGAGCAACCCCTTTGAGCAAATGTTTTCTTAAAAATGGAAAACATGAAATTCCTACATTGGAATTGCTGTCTTGGCAAGTGAAAGAAAAGAGACATAAAGATGTTGAGAGACACTGCAATCAATATATTTTGAATGTTGAACATTTTGGGGAAAAAGACATTTAAATGGAAAAAAAAATGGAAATGTGCAGAATGAAAATTATTTGTACATTTTGTGTTGTTCTTCTCTCAAAATAAAATTCTGCTTACTGGGGTTCTTTAGAGAGGCACAATCTGAGAACAGAGAAAATGTATTACTGACCAGTGACCTTGTGTGAGATCACTGTTTGCTGCAGCTGATAGATTTCTTTATCTCCTTTTTTTTTGCTCTAGATTTCTTGTTTTTTTCAGGTTTTCTCTGTTATTCTSTCTCTTTAAGACAGACATAGATAAAAGTAACAAACAACAAAATAATCATAACATCGAGCTAAGCCCAAAATAGCCACATTCTGTTAGACCAGATGCATTTGACTTGGTGTCCATGCATGTGACCAGTGACCTTTCAGATTTTTTTTTTTTTTTACAAAGCACAAAATCATGCACTATTAAAGTCAACTAGGGTTTGTGGGGTTTTGGGTTATTTGTTTGTTTGTTTTTGCCACTACTTAGTGGCCACTTAGTAATCAGATTTCTCTTGAATTTTGAGAATTTTTTTAATGTACTTCATGAAGAATAGGATGCTCCTTAATGGAGAAAATATTTTGCTGTATGGATTCCTACTATTAATACATATTCCTGTGTATTATTCATGAAGTACTTGCAGTTCTGCCTGARAGCTCAAGCCTCTGGCATGAACTTCCTTGATTGCGTGTGATATGCAGGGCAGGTGCAATGCCATAGTGCTGCTGATGCACTTGTCCATTTTGGGGACATGCAGGAGGACACTGCCACCTCTTACATGTGCCCTACTAAGTATTTCCCTGCAGTGAAAACTCCACAGGGAGTGGGGGACAAGGAACAGAGGGAGATTAGAAAGGGGAAAGGGGCTTTTGCCTGCCTATCTTCCTATGCAACTGGATCTGGGAAGCCTTGCAACTGGATCTGGGAACTGACATTGCCCTTTGGTCCCACATCATATACAGGGAAATGTAGTCTGATCCTTTTTCTCTGTCTTCCTGCCTCATGTATTTTAGAACTGAAGCATGATATTTTACTTCAATCAATCTTTACCTTGAAATGGAATTTAATACAAAGGCTGGAAAAAAATGCATTTCGTGCCTATTTGGACTAGAAGATTCTCATATCAAGTTGCAGTCTCCAAACAGAGAAATTTAAAAAAAAAAAAAAAAAAAAAAAAAAAAAAAAGGAAAAGAAAAGAAGAGTTAAATAAGATAACCAAAAGTTGTAGGGCTTATGCAAGACTATTCTGTTATTGTTTTTGACCTCCTGAGGGCATGCTTTCAGACCTATAAATCTCTTTCTCTTTTTCTCTTTTTGGGGCTTAAGGTTCCTTTTTTCATTGCTGACCTTTTCTGGTTTGGCTTGGTTTGGCTTCTATTTTTCTTGGCAGTTTTGCAAACTGATCTTGATAACCTGACTTTCAAATCAGTGTGGCGCTGCACTGGGAAAGTAGCATAACATTCCTGCAGACAATATCTAAGAAGAAAAGAGTTAACTGCACACTTTAACAACGATGTATTGGCTCTGGACTGCCTGCCCGAGTAAAAGTTTAAAAAGCTTTATTTTGGTTGGAAAAGTAAGCAGACATGACCAAATACACAGAAACTGCTATTTTTGTATTCCCTTTTCTGACCATAACCACACTTAGATGTATTTTTCAGATGTAGCTTGCAATTCAGAAATGCTAGATATTTACAGTTTTGGCAGCAATCTTCACAAACACACACTCACACATACACAGAGTAAGAGTGAGTCCCAGCTATCTATAAAGGAGAACTTTTCTAAAGGCATCAACATCTGTTGCATGAATCACCTCTCATGTTTCAAATCAACCCTTCAAACTCCTGCCTCCCTCAGTCCGTGCAACACTCCTCTGTTACAGTCTTGCTGGACATTAAGCCTAATAAAATAATCACGCAATAATTATTTTTCAATACTGAGATCACTGATACAAATAAGTCTCAAGTTGCTCAAGAAGTCAAAGTTAAACCAAGCAATGCTACTTCACTTTTCAAGCAGGAATATATTTTTATTGTCTTACTATAAACTAAACTTGGAACTAGGAAGAGGAAAGACTGGATCAGGAGATGTTGCACTGTACCAAAATCTTCCTTCAGCTGCTAAACTGAGACCAAAGGAGACCAAAACATGAACCAAAGCAGAGCAATGAGAGCAGGTTACAACATACGGCAAGTCTTTATGCCTCTGGAGATGGTTGGAGCTGTGGCTGGAGCCTGGCCCCTTTCCAGCCATCGCTGGTTGCTCCATGCAGACATGGAGGCAGCTAGCAGGGAGGCAAAAAGGAAGAGAGGGAAGAAGAGGATGAAGAGATCCTAGGGCAGGGATTGATGTGTCTGGTTGAATGCAGAAGCTCGAAAGCTCCCCAGAGCCCATCATTTCAGATTCAGCCAAAAAGACTTTACATGTCATCATGCTAAATGTTGCAGCGAGCTGCTGGTCCCGGAGGGTGAATCCACCACGCCAGCCAAGTGTTCACTCTCCCACATAGTGAGCGGGGAGAGTTTGGCACCTCCAATGGGGATTTTTAGGGATTAGCCTGCAGGGGAGCACGAGGATGAAGGCAAGTCACTTCCCCTCTCAGATGGAGGCATCGACCTCCAGTTCAGAGATAGTCCCCTCCACAAAGCTGGAGTCATAGATAAAGCCCCACAGGGATTTAACTGCCTAAGGTGCTCAGCTTATAAAAGATCTTCCTATTCCTTCAGCCTGCCTCATAATTTATAAATAAAAATGGGTCAGGGCTATCATTTGGGCTAGCAGACTATTATCTGGATTTGCAGGCATAAGGCGTGATATGGCTTGACTTGAAGCCATAGAGCTTGATTTTGTTCTGCCCTCAAAGAGGCTTTTGTGAAGAGGCTTTGCACCTTGCCTAAGCACCCTCTGGCACAAACGCTGCAAAATCATATGAAATGTTTAACAAACCAAATAATCACCTCATACTATATTCATGCTCCTGGGAAATGACAGGTATGGGTTCAAAGTTGCCCAGGTTAAAAAGAGATGTGAATTCAGGTGAAAAGATCATATTAAGTTCYATCCTGAATTCACCTTTCTCTCTGCACCTAGACTTGTGCCTCTGTGCTCTAAAAACTGCTTAAGTAATTCAAGGTTCATCATTTACTTAGATTAAACCTTTATCATTTCCTGTCTAAGACATATTATAACTGCTTAAAAAAATACATTATATGCTAAATAAGAACAGATAAGATAAAAAGCCAATTCTTAATTTCTGGTGTAAAAGCTATTTTAGCCATTTATGGCCCAGCACTCCACAGCAGCCTATGATAACACGGTCCCTCAAGATTAGTGTGGAAAAGACTGTTTCCAATGTTATTGAAAAAAATATACTGAAATGCAAGAATCCATATACACCATGTTGCTGTTGGGAGGAAACACCCCACCAAATTTCCAGTCTTTTCAACTCCTAAATCCTTTATTTACAGGAAATCAAATCCTTCGGACAGTCACATGCAAAACCATTTAAAAAAAAAAAAAAACCTCCCATTAACGTCAATGTGAGGTTATTTGGAGCGTACTACATTGTGGCTATATGTTTTAGAGACACCTTTAGACCTTTCTGCCCTAGAAAGAAAAAAAAACACTCATACTGTTCAGCAAAACTGCTCCTTGTGCATGTTCAGAGTTTACATATATTGGCAGAGGACTTTAAACTTTTTGTTTAAATTTGTTTCTTTGTTTCCACTTCTTCTCTGCAAGGCCAAGACAATTTTGAAAGAATAAACATCATTAACATTATCGTTAAATATATTCTTACATACTTTGCCTGTATTATTCAGGGCCTAATTTGATCTGCAAAAAGTCTTCATAATAGATTATTTTGTGCAAGAGTGCTAGAATAAATGAACCTCTCTTTGACCTTTATCTACAAAAATCAAGTTGCGGTATTGGTCACTAGAAAAAAGTAAACAGAAGCTGAATATATTTCATATGAAGCAATATCCTCAGAAGCCCTTAATTTACATGCCATAGTTACTGAGTTACTTCCCTGTGGATAGTTGTTCTCTATATTATTTAACTATTCAAATATGCACATATTTGTGTTTCTCCATAAGCATTTCATTTTTTTAACAAATGGAAACATGTTTTGTCCTGCTTACTAGAAAGCATATTCTCCATGATGATGTAGGTTGAAAATTGAGTGTGTGGCCATATACATCTGTGGGTATCACTCTCTCTACAGGTCTGCTTTTATTTCCGGCTGTATTTTGTTCATTTCATTTCATTTCATTTCATTTCATTTCATTTCATTTCATTTCATTTCATTT